CAGCTGTTCTAAACTTCCTCATTGGAAGTCACGAAAAAGCGGTGGGTTTTTCGAGAAGTTGTTGATTGTGTAATTGCCGGAGAGTTCTTCGTCTTTTTGTAAGTGTTATTGAAGCGTTTGGCCTAGTAGATTGTATATCAGTATACCCTTCCAGGCTCTGAAGAAGGCGATACTGCCGAAACGTCAGCTAGCGTTGTATTGTATTGTGTTTTCTTTATGGAAGTAAATGTATGCTGTTTAAAAACCTCGCGATTGCTGAGCAAGAAAACGACACATTCAATCGCTGATGAAAAATCATTGCTATGTGTTTGAAAAATGCTAGGAGATCCCTGTCTTTTGAGTATTCGCTGGAATTTTTCGATAAATGAAGTCCTCGAGGAGTTTGAAAGAAAGTAACTTTACTGGGTTGTTCCAAAGATATAAGTAGCTTCCGTACACTGCTTTTATTCTCTTTGCATTATAATGTACTGTTATTGTAATGAATAGAAATCGCTGGGTTAAAAGCATAGTTGCTTAATCCTAGGCCGGGAGAAGAACCACAAGTCACGCTGAGTCGATAAATCGTTATAACTACTCATCATCGTTGCTTGATTAGCAAAGTGAATCGTGATTGCAATCTTTATCATCAGGTTTGTAAAGCACTCAAAAATAGGCAGAATAAAGTTTGAAATGCGCAAAGCTAAACTATATAAACTTCATAAGGATTTTTGGCTCAATACTACTATTTAAAATTCAGTGAAGCGTTTTGAAAAGTGAACAGATTTGAAGGATCAAATCCTCGACGGATATAAACAGCATGGTTAACTAAAATCTGAATGGTGCCAAACTATATCCACACGGTGTGGTGGTGAACGCGTTACTCTTCGTTCCCCACCGCAGACACCTGCGGCTCGGTGCTTTGCAAATATCTTCGCATTATAGTAGTTATATTTCGCAATTACCCTGCCGTTAAAAAAGCAGGCAGTAAATAAAAAGGTTAAGATTATATCCACATAGTTTTCTTTAAAAAAATCTTTAAGCAGACTTGTATTTGAACACAAATAATTCCAATCACACTGTATATTCTACTCCATAGGGCAGTTCTATCTTGATGGATAAGCTGGTGGGGTCTAAACTGTACTATTTAAGGTATCGGAGCCATACTTCTACAACTAGGCTCATCACTACGCTCTGTTGAAGCCGAACAACTACAGCTAGGTTCATCACTGCGTTCCGTTGGAGCCGGTCTACTCTCGCAATGCGCATCACCACGTTTCCTGAAAACACGGCTCCTAAAACAGAATAAGATCGAAAGAATAAGAATAAAATCTGTTAGCACAGAAGGAACTAAAACTTGGTATCGATAACTATTTCACCTCTTGTTTTCTCTCTCATGAGCGCAACCATGAAAACTGTCGTCTTGTTGTTGTCGTTTAAGGCTCTCCAACATCAACTCTATATCCTTCAAATAAAAATCATCCAGAGAAAATGGAACGAATTTCACAGAGCACTTCATATCTGAACTTAAAATGTTTTCTCAAAGCCCATTACAAGTTTCACTCAGTCTATAAAGACCCGACCTGAAGAAAACGTTAACACCAGCGTGTTCAGTGTATAAAATAAAAAACACTTATTTCGAAAACTATGAAAAAAATGAGTGCAGCCGAACTGAAAAAGGCATGTAGATACAGAATTAAAACTCAGTTATGAAGTCACCACTGAAATGATCCCCACAAGAACGCAAATAGAATTAAATGAAGAAAACAATGCGAACAAGGAATGTGTTATGTTCTACACAACCTACGCTGTGTTTTATAAGTGTCAAACCCAATACCTACTCAAAGGAACGTAGAAATCAAAGCAGAGAGAGGTAGAGAGAGACAGCCAGAGAGAAAAAGATTCATACCGTAAAAAACTCATCAAGAAGAGATAAAAACATTAAAGCATCATGTATAGCTATTTATAATTTTTATAGCTTATTAGCCGTTCTACCCAAGATACTCTACTTTTGAGAAAGCATTTTTTACATTTACATCTGTACAAAGTGCTTTGTAATCATTTCCCCGTCGTTTAAAATACTTCCCATTAACACATTTTTACTACGAAAGGAAAGAATGGTAACACACTCACTTCATAAAATAGAATGGCTGTTCCTTACAGGTTTAGGCGCACTCTTTTTAGTTACAGAGCAAAAAGTGGTAGCATTGCTCAAGAGGCCCTACAACATCAGTGCGCTCGAGGAACGCTCACGGCTTCCCATTGTGTAGGGAGACAGAGGTGTCACCAATACAGTAACAATTCAAATTTATGCAATTTTGCCCTTTCCGCAAATAAAAACGTGTACCAAGAGTCCAAATGGATAAGAAAATCTCCTCAAAACACGAATCCGCTAATTTAACTAACGTGTCTCGAACCACGACGAGGTGCAACCGTTATCGGTGCGCCGAATAGTTGGAACCGATGCAGTGTTTTAACAGCAAGCGGTACATTTTCTTCGTCTTCAAATAACACAAAAGCGAACCGATGGGATTTCCTCAGAACTAGTTTCACTTGTTCAACCGGTCCGATCTAAACACAACTTTTGAAAATCCTGTGGTTCCACATCCACAATAAAAAATATATTTCATGGACTGCATGAAAAGCATTTCGTCACACACAATACAATATATCGATGGCTTTAAAATGCATAGCAAAGGTTTACTAAACGAAGCTACAGCACTGATTGTTCGTATAAATTAGAGTACTTCGAATTCCGTCCACTTCATTTCAAAGATCCTTCCTCTGTGATAAGCGGTTACTTGGACGGCCCGTCCTTACTGCTTGTGTGTTTCTCAGCATAACCTCTATTTTGCGGAGTTTGCTGCTTTAGCCGTTGTGTTTACCAGGAGTGCTGAGATCAACCTGGCCAAAGTCTGCCCCAGGCCATCACCACCACAGGAAGTCGCCGCCCTTTTGGATCGGTGGGAGATTTGCCACAGTTTAATATCAGAACGGTGATGGATCCTGGTATTGGTTTACTCTTAGCTAGGCTTCCTAATGAAAGCACCGAACTCCTCAGCTTGGAAGGCCCTGATGGGGAGTTAAATCCCCTCGCTATACCCAACGTAAGCTGACACCCAGAAACACCTCCCAACCACGGTGAGGCAGTAAACCGTTAGGAAGCTAAAGTGTAAAACAAAATAAGTGTTACGTGTAAAATATAGGCACGATTGTTACAAAACATACCTGTTTAAATAACTCTTTTAGCATATCAGATGTCACAAGTGGTGACAGGTCCGAAACATAACATGTGCGATCGCGAAGATCTACCATCTGAGCTAAGGTAATTGGAAGAATACGCAAAAATGTTTTGAAAGAGTTAAATGATCATTATGTAAGCAACTGTTGAAATCGTACAACTGCTACATTCTTAAAAACGAACTCATCTGAATGTAAATTTTTATTGAAGAAAACTTATGGCGTGATAGGGCATCCACAATATGTTACACAAATCAATGAATACTCGACCCATATACACGCATATATATGCATATGTATATGCGTATATATGTATAGGCGCATATATACAGCAAAGTTTAAAGCACGATAGCCTACGGGCTTTCCAAAACCTAAAATACTTGGAAACTTAAAGAATATGAAAAAGAGGAGACTTCACCTTATAGCTGTAGAACTACAATTCTTCCAAGAACACCACTTCGATTTTTTGCTGAGATTTAATAACGTACTAATTACACAGATGAAACTAAACTCCTTAACGTGAAAGTGACACAACCAGCAAGACATTAACACACACTTTCACGACTGCATGAGTCATTTTCAACTCTTACGCGAGGGTTCACGACGATTAGAGCCATACATGACTCGTTTTATTCAGGAATTTTACCTCTGAGGGATTAAATTTCCAGAAATTGTTTTTTGAATAAAAAAATAATTTTCATGCAATAGATATTGTATCCGGTACTATGCGAGGAAAGCCATTTCTGAACACCACAACTAAAAAGGCGATTATTGAAACAATAACTACTTTTCATTACGAAGCACGAAAGCCTTGTTTCTTCTTGTACAGACGCTGTACTATACGAACTGTAGTTTTGAAAATGCTACCATGTCCCATTCAACTAATTAATCTTTTATCCAAAACAGAACGTCTGCCGTGCACCGAGACCTAAAACGCGATGTAAACAAATGAGTGCAGCCGAATAACTGTCGGAATCTATCAAAAAAGCATACATAAATTCTGTGCAATCGTAGGTAGACAGCATTTCTGCGATGAACTGTCATAATCAAACTTATCGTAACTGACATTACACAGCCTGATTTTGTGCGGTGACCGCTCGAGGGACTGCGCCTTCCTACCATGTCATTTCGGCAACCTTATCTTGCTATTCATAACTGCCACCATCTGTATTCGCAGTTAGTGCATTTTCTCCACAATCAAGTATCACAATGACACGTTCATTACGTAACATAAATTCTTCTCCTTCAAAAACGGTCGACCTGTACATAGATGGCCATAATAATGCCATACATTCCAAGAAATAGTCTGAATAAAATAGTTAAGATAAGGCAGAAATATTTTTGTACGAAATTGTGTTTGTAAAGAATTGAGCTGACTTCTCCTTTCCTCTAATTTTGTACGATCACCTTCGAGACCAATGGCCCACAATTCATTCTGGAGCTCGTGTAACTGACATCTAAGTGGCCGAACCTCCTCACGGATAAACAGCGAGCAAATCGTCGCTATTGAGTTAGCAAAACATAATAATACGTAAAACTATGTCTATAACCAAAACGACTGGATAATTTTAATCGCTCAAAAAAATTCTAGAACTACTCTTAACGCGGATGAATAAAAACAGCTGAAAAGTGACTAAAAACGAAATAATACCGATGATACCGAAGAATCTTTATATACTGAGTAGGGACTTCGTGACTATCAAGGGCTCCCAGAATCGACTTGCTCTTAACCTCGGCATTGGAATATGAATGTGTCGTTTTCTTGTTCAGCAATCGCGAGGTTTTTAAACAGCATACATTTACTTCCATAAAAACACAATACAATACAACGCTAGCTGACGTTTCGGCAGTATCGCCTTCTTCAGAGCCCCTTTTCGTCAACCACATGCGACTATAATCAGCTGTTCTAAACTTCCTCATTGGAAGTCACGAAAAAGCGGCTCTGAAGAAGGCGATACTGCCGAAACGTCAGCTAGCGTTGTATTGCATTGTGTTTTTATGGAAGTAAATGTATGCTGTTTAAAAACCTCGCGATTGCTGAACAAGAAAACGACACTATCAAGGGCTTCCATGGCTACATCTATCTCAGTAGAGTCAAAGCTCTTCTTTAAATCGACCAAAGTGAAAGAGAGAGAGGTCCTTTGTACTCTAGCAATACTTCGACGAATCTTGTTATTGTGTGGATGTGATCCATCGTACTAAATCCTTTTCGACACCCTGCTTGCTCACATGACTCTCCTTCGTCCAATGTTCCGTCAATCCTGTTTAGGACGACTGGAGTGAAAAGTTTGTAGACGAGAGACAGTAAGCAGGATTAGGCCCGATAGCTACCGATATGGTGTAGGTCACCCTTCTTGTGCTACGGTGTAGGTCCCCCTTCTTGTACAACAACACAGTCTTGTTGGTTTTCCACTGAGTGGGGACCTTGTATTTAAACAGGCAATGTGTGAAGAACCAAGCCAGGGTGTTTATAAGAACTGGGCGGAGGTCCTTCAGGTGTTCAGGTCTTATGCTGCCTGGACCTGGTGTTTTTTGAATGCTCACCGACGAAATACCATGTCGGATTTTAATAGAGAAAACCGGTGGTACAATATATCCATTCTCCTTTATTTCATGTGACGAAAGAAGGACGTGGCTATTGAAGAGATCTGAGCAGTATTCGTGAATAATCTTCTTCTTTGCCTTTCCCGTCGCTGTAACTGTTCCGTTTGGGCGTCGGAGTGCAATCAGCTTGGTTTTGTAATTGGCCAAGCTTCGATGGGCTTTGCAAATGCTTTTCCCAGTCTTTGCTGCTTTGACCATAACTGCTTCTCTTCTTTCTTTAAGACCTTCTTTTATCGCCTTTCTGCACTATTCTGGAAGCTCGGAAGTTACCTGCCCGAACCTCGTACGATTCCAGGCTGACGTATCAGCTCGAGTGTTTCTGGAGACGGACGTTTGTTGGTGACTTTTGAACTCTCAGCTTTCATAGCGTTAACGTGAAGACGTTGAATGAGCCCATCGCATTATTCGTCGATGTTATCGACGACGGCATTTACCATACAGCCGACTAATGAATTGAATATGTCTCAGTTTATGGTAGTTTCGGGACATCGTTTTTGAAAATTAGCAGCGTTTTCTCCTTTGCGCGAGAAATAGAATCTTGCACGAGGGAAGCGATGGTCTGATCCCGTGTAGAATTTTGGGACAACGGCGACATCGATTAGGCAAAACCTATTTACTATGATATGGTCTATTTCGTTATGGTGCTCTCCATTTGGAGACTCCCACATCCAGCGT